TTCTAATTTTAAACACCAGTGTCGACGTATAAATTAACATATTAATAACTGCTCATCGACTTAACATACACAGAGCAACTATGATGCATCGATCAGATAAATCTCATAACTCGCCAGAAACAGGAAGTATACCGAAAGTAAGAGACTCGCGAGCATAAACATCTATAAACTTGGGGTATTGTTTCGTTTAAAAATACCCTCGGTAGGATTACGACTTTCGTTAACGATCTGTGAGAAGATAAATCGGTTTTTCATAGTTCTTACGTACCTTTAATGCTCTCCTTCTGTTCGTAAACTTTCCTCGACCTTACGGAAAGCGACTAGACCAGCTTCCAGTTTCCACTTCCGGAACTTTATAGACCGGGCGTTGCGAAACTCTGTCTCGTTTTCATCGTCGTGCACAAAGGGTTTGTTCCCTGTTAACATTGAATTTTATGGTACAGTAGCTACGCGATACCGAGAAACTTTTACAGCCAACGGAATCATTCATGCATTCAACGAATTGGATGCATTGGATCGTGAAGAACAAATCGACGAGCGATGTACTTTGCCTCTCTCATCGCGTAACGTCGCGGTTATAAATTTTGTTTAGGGTATGAAAATCCTTTGGGATCCTTTGGGAACGAAGGAAATCGATCGTAAATTTATTTGTATACAGGAAGAAAAAATGAATAATCAGAATCCATCTCCTTTTCAAATTATTTTACACCTTATAAACAAGAAGAAAATCTTGAATTATAATACAAAGAAATTTTACTGATGCTCTAAACGCAAATCGATTGTAAATTTATTTGTATACTGGAAGATAAAATAAATAACCAAAATCCATCTTCTTTTCAAATTTTCTTATATTTTGTAATAAAAAAAATTTTTGAGTTATAATATAAGGAAATTTCAGTGGTACTCTATACCCAAATTGAAGATAGTACAGTGCCTTCTGCTTCTCTTGAAAAATTATTACGACTACCGGAAAGTTCTGTCTTCGTTTTTGAAGTAAAAGAAAATAATACATTTTCAACATATTTATTAATATTTACTGAACAATATAATTTCCATCGTTGCTTATGACCTCTTCCCAGGGTGATGGAAATTTGTGAATTCCATTTTTGCAAAAGATGAAAAATTCGAGTGTTTGCTTGTCACCTGCTTCATTTTCCAAACTTTTCCGTTTTAGAAAATTTTGTAGAGAAAGCAACAGATGGTAATCGAATAGTGTCGTCTGAGAAGTATGGTGAATCCGATAGAATTTCCCAACTTAGTTTTGCGACTTTCTGGCGAGACTCTGTTAGTATTAAAATTAACACGTGTCGGTTTCAATGCGAACCCTTTCGTTTATGGATTACAAGGAGACATAATGGAAGATATTAAAAGGCTAGAATCAGACATGAGGTGTGAATAGAAAATCATGGAAAAGCGAGAGATTTATGATGGAAACGTCGATATAATTCCCGAAGAAGTGAAACAATTAAGGGAGTGGTGGCATTTTTTCGTTCCCACGACATACACCCATCGTAATGACCACTCCTCTACATGAATAAATAAGCTCGCATACGATTACACATGATTTTGCATATTCTCGTTCTCAACGATTAGCGAGCCGCTGCTTGAAAGCTATTACCGATTATTCATGCTATGCCTCCCGAGTTTTCTTAATTTCCTGGTTATTACGTATTGATCAGTCGTTTTTGCAATTTTCCAGCGGACATAATTTGTCATATCAGCAGCCTGAAAGACACTTTCCTCTAATAAATAAGTGAACCTAATGTGTACACGCATGAAAGGCGTTCCTCCGCGTTGTATATCATCAATATTTCTTACGATTAGGTAACTTGTCTCGATTGTGTATTCGATTATCATTATGTAAACGTTCTGCGAATTGCATTAGCGTTACTTAACTCTTTTTGTAACGATTTACTGTCTGCCGTTTAATTTTCTTATTCGCATTACGAGCAAACGCGATCCCATCGCGTAGTTAGGTGAAACACGAGACTTGGAGGAATAAAATTTCCTTCTCGACACTTTTGCTTCGAATTTCATTCATTCTATTTCCCCTTCCCTAATTTTCGATTACTCGAACGAGGAATAAAATTTGCATCCTCGGTCTTTCTTCCTTTTCTTCGCCGTTCCCGGTCATTACACGTCCGTTCAAAGAACCGAGGCAGCTCGATTTTTTCGCCGGCGGAAAAATCAACAGCCTTGAAATGCTTTCAGCTGATCGCGAAAGCTGAGGTTGCGTCCGAAATAGAACGTTCGCAACGGATGCGCCATGCAAACATAGCACGCTCTGCAATAATATTTGCTCGTCGAACGATATGTCTAGCGAAATAAGGACCGGAAGGAATATATCGGCGCGCTGGAAGATGTTCCTGCCCTCGAATTCTCCTCCCTCCTTTCTCATCCTGTTCGTCGTGGAATCTTGATTGAAACCTAGCAGACGTATCTTATCGATTGCCAAATGCAAAAGTTAAATAGGAATTTCCGTATGCAAATCGTCGTACTCGGTTCAAAGTTCTGTACTCTCTAATCACCCGGACATATCAACCACCGGAAAGAATCACGAGAAATTGAAAGTAACGTTAGGAAACGGTGAATAATCGCGATCTACTAGGTAATTTCTAAAAAGTAAAACGTTGAACGCTGGTTTCGCATAAAACCAGTAGAGGATACCCGTTGATCTATCGCAGATCGCATTAGTCTCGCTTTATTTTCTACGGTTTTTCCACCGCTATCAATATCGACCAGCTGTACAAGGCCGATGTAACAAAATGATCGATAAAATCACCCCTGTTAATTATCGTTCCGATGTTGCGTCGCGTAAAGATATCGTAAATTAGTCAGATCATTAGTGGTGGCTGGCAAGAGCTGAGTCTCCGCTCTCTTCCG